TCACGTGGATTCAAGTAAACTTTAAGTCCATTTTTCATGAACAAAGTCAACGACATTTTCTGTTCAACTTTATGACCGGGAACCGGTAATAGCCGGTAACGAAGCAAAATAGCAGCAGCCACAGATTTCATTTGGAGGTAAGCCAAATCCTTGCCTAAACAAGTTCTCGGTCCACCATTAAATGCAACAAATTTATACCCATCTTTTGGCGGTTCGAACCGGTCTCCACCGGTCGAGAGCCATCTCTCCGGTTTAAACTCCATGCAATCCTCACCCCAAACCGTTTTCATTCTCCCCACCGAGTAAATTGAATAAGTTACTGTTGAACCGGCTGGGACCCACGTGCCATCTGGCAAAACATCATCAGAAACGACATATTTGAAATCTTCAGGGACTGAAGGGTATAAACGTAAAGTTTCGGCTAAAGCCGCTTTGAGATAAATCAATTTATCAGCTTCATCAAAATTCAGCGGCTCTTCAGTCCATTTTTCATGATCTTCACCTCGGCTTTCCTTTAAAACGTTCGATATTTCTTCAATTATCTTATTTTCCACGTGGCTATCGTTCATTACGTTCCAAAAGAACCAGCTCATAGCGACAGATGATGTGTCACGTCCTGCTAGGACAAAGTTCAAAGCGATGCGCTTAAGTACATCACTTGGAAATGAATTACCGTTTATGTCCTTTTTCTTCATGAAACGTGACAATAAATCATCTGATGGACTTTCCTTACGCGAATCCAAAGCCTCGGAGATGTAATTTTCAACAACTTTGAGACTTTTTTGTAACCTTTTTTCAGCTCCAATGCCTAGAAATTTTTTCAACCTCCAAAGAAAGTAAGGGTATAATAGTCTTTGCATGGTGGCTTCAGTGGCTGAATCAAAAGCTATAGCAAATGGATTTTCAGGCATTTTTGGTGAAAGGGTTTCAGGGTCTTTACCAAAAGTAAGTCCGCAAATATTATCAAAAGTTAAACGGAGCAATAAATCTTGCAACTCGACCGGGTATTTTTCCTTTGCGGCTTTATCCAAAATTACCCACAAACGAGTTCTGATGGTCCGGTTTACCCACCGGTTCATTGCTTGTCGTAGTGTCCGGGTTGTGAACTCAAGAGCAGCGGTTTTTCTTTGCATGAGCCACGTGTCACCATCACTGTTGAATATGCCTTGACCCAATAGGTCATCGAATGCATTTTGCCAAGTTGGACCTTTAGGGTAGTTATCGAACCTGATATAGCATATTATTAGCTGATGCAGACATCACGATTATGAATAAATAAAAAATGTACTAGTGAAATATATAAGAGCATAACAATAGCTACATTTATGTGAAGATATTTTGCTATATGACTCATTGTCATCTTTTGCTTTACAATGTTTTGTAAAAGTCCTTCAAGGGACAAAAATGTCATTGACTTGCCAATTTAAATATTTTTTTATGCATATATAATACTCTACAACTTTAATATTCCCTATGCTTACGTCCTATTATACTATATGTTCAAGCGATTAATTGATATTATACCTATAGTTACATAATTTATATGATCATGACACGTTTAAAATCATAAGTTTACATAATATCAAACCTGGTTCGAAGAATATGCTCGATGTTTTTCGGGTGACATGTGACAGTATAAAACCCTTGTTTCCAAGCTAGAAATGGTATGCAAATAGTACACGTTTGATATGTTGCGGATACCCCAGTAGACCTTAGGTTTTGAGAAATCCAGTCATGAAATCTCCTTCTATTCAAGAAAGTATAAGGGAGGCTACCAACTAATGGCCACACTTTTGGACCACTTAACCTTTGTGCTAGGAGATAAAACCAAAGAAAATATACAGTAATTGCAGCTATTATTCCAGAATAAACCAGTATAGGATCCATTTTGAAAAATTGTTTCTCTTTTTTTTTTTTTTGGTTTAAGTGAAGTAGAGAAGAAAAGAGAATGAATGTGTTATATGGAAGAGGGGAGAGTAAGGTTTATATATATATATATATATTTGTAGAATGAATTAAAGGAAAGGTTTAGGAGAGAGTTGTTGAGAATTTTTATAACTTATGAAAGAAATTAAAGAAAGAAGGTCCTTATTCGGTTGATAGGAATTAATGTAATGAATTTTATTAATTTTCTTACGAAAACTTTACTGACTTTGCTTTGCTATAGCTTCATATAATTTGTACACGTCTCATGAATTCTCTTGTGCGTTTGGTCATGTAGTACTTATACAAATTTTAAACTTATTTAATCAATTATTTGTTTGTTCAATATCTATTGGCTGTTTTTTCTTATTGTAGACATAAATCATAATTTATAATACTATCAATTTGAAAATAATCAGAAATATCATTTGTTCAGGATTAGGATATAATTTGCTTTCTTTAGGTCATAATTAAGTAATTAAAGTCCTTGATACAAATAAATATTTACATCTTACTCTTTCTTCTTAGATTAACCATGTAAATAGTTATCTAAGAAGAGAAAAATGAAACATACTCTAATATATATTTTCCGCGACCAATTATAATAAATAAAAAGTAAAATAAAAATAAAAATAGAAAGTTTCACATAAGCAGAAGAAGTGGGGGGTGGTTGGGAATCGGTTTAGCTGTGTTGAGAAATACATCTTTTCTCCAAAATCGGGGAAACTGTTCTAAAAGGTTTAGTTTCTGCATGCAGTAGATTAGAAAGATTAAATTAGAAGCTTTAAAAAACAACCTACTTAAATTGGTTTTGTTAAAATTTTACCCTTTTAGAGGTCGGTTTGTAGAGATAAATAATAAGTAGTGTTTGCTTTCGATACACTGTTAATAGTTACATAACTCAAAACCTCTAATTAAATATGACGTCGTTCCACGGTACTAATTACGGTTTTGGCACATGGGGAAGTCTTCCCAAGCAAGAAATAGAGACACACACAATACAACCTTTTACCTCCAACTTTTCTTGGTTTTAGTTCTTTTTAAAGAAAATCTATGTGATTTACAACAACCTTGACTTTTGTAGTATTATAAAGGCATTAGCTGCAACTTACGACATTAGAATGTCATTAAGCAAATGATCACCATATACTTAAACATGTTAGAATACATTATTTCCATAACTAATCCTGTTATTACATCAAAATTTAATTGGAGGTATAAGAAACTTCTAATTAATACTGCAAAGGAAATACAGTTCATGCCAGATTGTTTCATAGTGTATAAAACTTCTTTGACAATATATGTGTACACTCTAAGTTATATACTTCTTTGATTTTTTTTACCATGTTTTCCAATATTTGTATTAGACTATTTCTAGGGCCAATGCTCCAACAAACATATTTTCCATTTCCAAAAATTCGAATATGAGACCTCGTGGAAGGAACTGAACTATCTAGTTAAACTCTAATTTATATTGGTGGTTTCAGCAGGCTTAAGCTGGCCTGGACTGGAAATTCAGGTCCAGTTCAACACCGCAGTTTATTTACAGCCCAATAAAAGGGTCCAATTAAGTAGTTATCTAATGACATTATATTTAGCTCTATATTTATATTTGAGTAAATTTCCCGAGTATGTACAATTAGACATTTAAATCTGTATAAAATTGAACAAATAAATGTACACGTCATATGTTAAGAGCCGTCTCTCCAGTTTGTCAACACATCACTAATTAAGCTATTAGTAGTTCGGAATCGGTTTAGCTTTGTTGAGAAATAAGGCATTGCTCCAAATCCTTGAAAAACGATTCTATAAGGATTGGAAGGCTTGAATTTATGAAGCCCAATAAAAGAGTTACTAGATATTTGTCAAGAAATGTATCATTTTCTTTTAAAGATATACTAAAAAGAAAAAGGGAAAATTGTACATAATGGCAAACTATTAATTCAAATTAAATGGTATAATCACACTTTGATTTAATTGTCTCCTGTAGCAAACTGTTTGTCAGTCGCCTCTCTCCCTCAAACTCTCGCTCGCCACTCTCCCTCTCTCGCTCGCTCCCTCTGTGCTCGCCTCTCTCGCTTATACAACAAAATTGTATAAATTGCGTTTCTGTTTGTATAAAACGAGAGAAAATTGTATATACACATGCAAATACATATATGTTTGGCCTATATACTTATAATTATACAATAAAAATATTCCCCTGCCAACGAGAGGCTAACAACAATTTATACAAATGGCCTGCCAGCAAAATTATACAAATCTGAAGAGGAGCCAACGAATTATACAATTGCTTCTTTTTGTATATATGTATAGCGAAATAGACATAACTTTCAATTGTATATGTATAGCGAATTCTACATATATATGTTTGCTATGGAACACAATTATGCAAACTTTGCTATAACATACAAATATGATTTTTTTGTTTGTTATATATGTGAAGGTTGCTCAAAGAAAAATGTGTATGGAGAAGGATAGAATAGCCGAAAGAAAAAGAATCATAACTATAACTTCTTACTTTTTTTGTCCCAATTTAAATGACACTTTTTTGTTAGTTTGTTTAAAAAACAAAACACATTTTTATATTAGTAGAATTTAAAATACACATTTTATCTTAATGATTTATAGTAACACAAATACTTATGACTTATTTTAAACCACAATTTTTTTATTTTTTTTTTATCAAATCAAATACTAATATTACATGAATTAAAAAAAACGAAAGGAGCATATTTTTCTAGTTTTGGAATATAATTGGCTCTACCTACATGTCCACTATGATCACAAAAAATCACAAGTGGTGCAACAAGTTGCCACGTGTCAATTCCTCCATCACATGGCAAGATGACCTCTCAATCTTTTTCCTATTTCCACCTAAGGAAATAAATTACAAATTAAATAGACGAAAAAATATAAGTTGAATTTAAAATATAAAAAAATGGCAGAAGTAGAAGGGATAATAAACTTGTGGAGAACTCGCGCTACATCATACGGCTCATATTCATCCTACCAGAAATCAGAAAAACTATATTATCCACATTGGAAAAATCGATTATTGCTTCTACACAGAACCAGAAAATTGAAAAAAGCCCTAATTTTGAAATTCAATGGCGTCGTTGAACTTGTTCGTCACTCCGATAGCAGCCGTAACCACACAACAACAAAGAAGAAGAGTATACACCGCTGCTACGGCATCGAAGAGCTCCGGCGGAAGCACTGAGGAGAAATCGCTTTTGGATTTTATACTTGGTGCATTACAGAAGCGAGACCAGCTATTGGAGACAGATCCACTGCTGAATAAAGTAGAGGATAAGAGTGTAAGCACCACCACTACAGGCAGGAAGAACTCTGTTACTGTTCCTCCTAAGAAGGATGGCGGCGGATTTGGCGGATTTGGTGGCCTTTTTAATAAGAAAGAATGATTCTACTATGTGAGTCTGCTTAATTTTTTTTCACAAAAATTCTGCTTCCTTGTATGAAATTTATAATTTACTTCGCTCTGTAATCTATTCATACTATTCGAATTGAACAATTCATGAGCTACTTGCTTGCTCTGCAACATTGGTTATTTGGTGATGGTAGCTGCATTTGTATACTATAACATACTTTTAATACACATTTCCTCCCAATAAACATCATATCTGTTGTTCTGAACATGTGAGTTCGCACCTCTTCAATCCAGATTGTTGGCTATAAATTGTAAGCTACAAATAAATATGGTGTCTGATGATATTTTATTGAAATTTGAGGAATCACTACTATTAATGTATATCTATTTTATTTTGGGAGAAAGTAATGCATAACCTCAGGTACACTGAGTGAGTAAATGAATTAAATTCCTTAAAAACACCAAAAGTAAAATCTCACTAAATTAATACTCGGTTAATTAATAACCTCTCTAAGATAATATTTTTCTCTATTTTGATTTGGGTCAATGGAAAAAATCACCAATTTTGATAAGATAATAAGATAATGTATTTTCAGAAGATCCCTATATAAATATATGGTCCCGTTAATGTTATAAATTAATAATAGTTTAAAAGTACAAATATATCTAAGACAACTTAGTAAAATATGATTCTATTATGTTATGTTTTTTAAAAATTTAAATCTAGTTGAAACTTATCTCTAACTTTTCTTTTTGCATCCAAAAATTTCGGTTGTCTTTTCAAATTGCACCATAAAATTGTGAAGACTTCTAAATACGATAAGTGTTTCCTTACACGTAACTGGTTCCAAATGTATTGTTTCATCTTCAACTTTATCATCAACATCTTTTTTCAATGGTATCCATAATTTCTTTGAAGCTCTGGACCTCTAAATATGTATAATTTTCACCCATCTAACAGGTTATCGACTCCATTTTATTGCGATAATCGAAATCATTAATCATGAATGACATTTTCACAAGTGGGTTTATTTAAATTCTCTGAGATTTCATCACCGAACGAATTTTACAGTGTCAAAACACCCTTTAAATTAATAAATATAAATTTATTAATTTATCGATTAAATAATACCTCTACAAAATAATAATATTTCATGGTTCCACCTATATTAATTCAGTGAGATTTTACTGTATTGAATTTTGTGGTCTCAAATATTTTATCCTTTTCTTTCTGATTTATGTCTTTTCAATTTACTTCCATTTTTTGAATTAAATTCCTTAAAAACAAAGTATTAAAGTTGTAGTATAGTGGTAGATCTCTTTTTAAATTGACACTTGTGTTCGGGTTCAAATTTCATTGTGAACATTTTGTTTTTTTAGCTTTTCTTCATTTAGTTCAGAACCAATCTTTCACGCTTTATATATACATATATATTTTTTTTATTTTATTTTTTTTATATATTTTTTAAATGTACTAAAAAAGTAGATTTTAACCCAAAAAAATCCAAACGTATTAAAAGGTCTCTTGTAACCGAACTAACTTTCTGTACCTATAAACTATATACTACTACTTTCTTGAAATTGTATGTTATTGACTTATTCACAAGTTTATACTTTTATTTTTTAAAGTATAAATTATATGAACCACATATTATAAGTACTAAATAACATTCTATCCCTTCTAGTTTTCTATTTACCAAAAATCCCTTAAAAATGATGTTTGCGCGATACATAGCGTTGTGCACGGGATACATTAGGTTTGATACATTCCACATAGCGGGATACATAGCGTTGTGCACGGGATACATTATGTTTGATACATGGATACATAGCGTTGTGCACGGGATACATGTAGGATACATAGCGTTGTGCACGGGATACATAACATTTGATACATTCCACATACCGGGATACATAATGTTGTGCACAGGATACATAGGTAAATAAGGGATTTTTGAAAATTTTGAAATAAATAGGGATAAATGGATATTAAAGTAAGTAAAGGAGTGTAATTAAGTAATTTGTCCTTTTTTAAACCCCTACATGAAAATTTTGGATCCGGATATTAGCCAGGCCGGAAGCAGATATTGGTTCGAACGATAAGTGGACATCTTACTATTGGGTCCAGTGGAGAATGAGATGGTGACTAGGTCCAGCCCACTAGAGGAAACAAGCACAAACTATTCAAGATAGGGAGATACTTAATATAAAATCCCATATTTCTTTGGATGAAATTGGTAAATAGCTATTTTTTAGACGGTTAATCAAGTTATATTTAGAGTATCAAACACATAAGAAATGAATTTTGTGCCTAACTAAATACGAAAAACTAGATTTTTACTCATCCCAACGATATGGGACATAACACCCCGTTTCACCCCATGACTAGACGTTTACTGCGTGGACAATTTAGTATGGAGGCACAACTTTGGTAAATCATATATTTAGAATTTGGGATGGGTCTGACTTTAATATCAAATAATTAAAGAAATGAATCTTGGACATAACTTAACCCAAAACTAACTCATAATGAGAGGATTGCCCTAATATAATCTAGCTTTCCCTCATCCCACATCGGTGGGATATAACATATGCAATGTTTAGCAACTTTCAAAATAGTTAAAACACGAAAAAAAAAACTCTGGTATATTTACTGAAGTTGGAACTAGAGTAGCTATGACTTTAGAACTAACCGAATCGAACCGATTCTTAAAGTCTTGTAGTAAAACCTTAGGTAGAATTATTATTTTGAGAAAATAAACCAAACTCATCCACACTTAAAAAAAGGTTTCAACCTACCCCACATCGCACTTCCATAAAGTTAAATCTATCCCCACCTCACATAGGAAAGACCATTTGACTAGGGCAGGTGACGGATTCCAGCACCATTAAAAGTTGGGCAAAGTTGGCAGGATTTAAAGCGATTAGGCGTTTGGACACATGAGTTTGATTGAAATTTGGCAAAAATGAATATCACCTTTTGGAAACATCTCCATGTACTCTTCTCATTAGAGTTTCGATCGATTTCGAAATCAGATTTTTGTAGGAAATTAAATTCTTTTTGTTAATCATTACCCTTCTTTTACTTGATCGATCGGGTCAGCACAACCCAGACAAAGAAGGGTTCCAACATATATACTAGAATCATTATTAATAAGAGGATTTACAGAAAAAATATACAACATGCTGTGCTATAACATATTAGTATCAATCTTGCATGTCTTGGTTATGTACTTAAGCACATGCATAGTTATAAAGCAAACGAATATTTTTTGTTTTTATCTCTCCTCTTTGTAACAACCCCAATTTCACAATAGAAACATTCATGTATTATAATAACTAAACTTAAAGTTACAACGCCAAAATGGAACTTACAAAGAAATTGCAGAAAAACAATGGACTAGTTAAACAAGAAACTATTGAAGAAGATAATTAGAGGGAGATGAGAAACTAAGACTCAAAGAAAGGGGATGAAGGACTTGACATTTTTCTCAACAATCTGCATAATTCCTTAATCGCATACCATTACCCCTTTTGATAGAACCGTTCTCATATCCAATACTCAACCCGGATCCCAAATTAACCTGACCCTACTGCTTGTTCTCAGCTCAATAGCTCGTCAGCCCAATAACAATTTGTATGACATTAGTATCTACATTGGGCTGGACTTGGTTCATAACACTCTCACTCCTTTGGTGACTCGAACTCCAACCTTACGGTTGGAAGTGAGAGGTGTTTACCATCCGAGCAACTCCCTCTAGAATCTAGTAAATAGCAAAAAACCTATAATAGTAGATTCAACTTTCAAGACACACACAAATGGACCTTCTTATCATCCTAGCAAATGAACTTTAATTTCGTTTCTTAGGATGACCAAACTGTAATTAAGAATCACAAATTTATTTTAAAGAGAAAGAGTAAGGAACATGATTATATATACCTCCAAATACAAGCCAAGCAAATCCGAGCTAGTTTTTGAGGTTGAGTTAGATTCAAAATTCATTTCTTTATCGGTCTATTCTATATTCCGAGTTCTCCTGACTTGGCTACCAAGGTTGATAAATGAGTCATATTTCATCAAAACTTTTTACTACAATATTGATTATTGAGAATATAATCAAATCATAAGACCTCAAGAGAGAACATATCTGATCATATATATCCCCTAAAAAAGAAAACATTTTTTTCCTAACTTGAACACACATTTAAGCAAGACCAAGAAACAAAATTATAATACTAATATGTATAAATGTAATCATAGTATATCTTACAGCATAATTGATGTGCTAGAAACAGAATTAGATCTGGGCAAACGTGACGATGATGAGTTGATGAAGTTGATACAATCTTTGATGGCCTCAACTCTATGATCAGAATTGATTAATATTGGAGGATCAGATAATGGCTTATTAGAAGAATTAACTTTGCCTGAACTTCTTGGAGACATCATCCTCACAATAGCAACTATCTTCCCTCCTAAACGTTTGAACAATTTAATCGCGGATAATTCTGATGTTGATCTCTTGAAACTATTATACCCTCTTTTCGTATTACTATTTGTTGCTTCATTGTCTCTTTTTTTATTTGAGCCTTTTTTTGTCAACATGATCTTATAGCTAGAAAACTAAGAAAGATGATACAATAATTTGGAGTGTGTATTATTAAGAGGATGAAAAAATGGATGTGTACCTTTAATAGAGAATTAAGTGGGGAAAAAGACAAGAAAATAAATGATGAAAGGTGAAGGACAAGAAGGCTACTTGGTACGAACTCTTTTAATGCATGTAGAGAGCAAATTAAACATGCCATGGGCTATTCTAATCAATGAGAAAGTGACTTAAAACAATACCAAGAGAGAATTGTCAAAAACGTATTGATGAAAGATGTTCAAATTGATTGATCTAGCCAACTAATTAATTGGCTAATTTTGGGTTCCATCATCTTGGATTGACTTCAGCACTAGGAGTCTATGTTATTGCTATCTTAGTCCAATTTTTTTTTTGGCGGAAATTGAGTTAATGTGATTGCATTTATATAGAGTATCGACTATAAATATCCATATTATATTATTGCCACTAAATATAATATTCGGTAACTACTTTTGTGGGGAGTACTAAGGGGAATCATTATAACGTACTCCTTCCGTCTCATTTTATGTGTCACGTAAAATAGGACGAAGGGGGTATTAATGACATTACCTTTTGTTAATTCACATATAGAATATAATGTGGTAGCAACTGATGATGGGAAATGTTGAAGCTTGGCC